GGTTCTTCCAGTTCTTCAGAACTTTTGAGCTGAGTGTGCAGCAGTACAATTAGTTGATGAGTTTACTGCAACAGTCACATGTGTCAACTTTTGATTCTCAGTCCAATCTCATAGCTTCTACCAATTTTGTTGGTACCTCATTGTCTATTGATTTGTGCAATAGTTCCAGTTCTAATTCATGCATGCTTTCTCAGGTTGTAGGATTAACTTAGATACTTGATTCTAGGGCTACCGATCACATGACATCAAATAAGTAATTTCTTTCTAATATAACTCATTTGCATGTTCACTATCTTGTTTCCCTACCTAATGGATATAAAGTAAAAGTGACCAGCACTGGTTCTTTTTCCTTGAATCCATCACTCATTTTTCATAATGTTCTTTATATTCCTTCTTTCCACCACAACCTCATTTATGTACATAGACTCATACATCAGTTTAAAAGCCTTTTTTTGTTCACTTTTGACTCTTGTATACTTCTACCAAAGGCTCATTCTCTAAAGAAGCCTTTGGATCTTGGTAGACTTGATACTGGTCTCTACAAGATTATCTAGAAAAAGCCTTCTCAATATCAAATTTTTACTGATTTATATTCCATGAATAATGTTGTTTCATCTTCTGTTCATTATGTTTCTGCTTCCACATGTGAGAATAATGTTGTTTCATCTAGTTTTTCCCTTGTTGATGCATCTTCTTGTAATTCTAATCCTATCTTGCCTAATATCTGTAGTATTTCTTTCCATTCTACTTCTACTGATATGAATAAAATGAATGTGATTTGGCATCAAAGACTTGCTCATGTTCCTTTTATTAGAATGAAACTTATTTCTGGTTTATCTGATTCTTTGTCTTCCAAACAACCTTTTATTTGTAATGTATGTCCCATGTCAAGGCAAACTAGGATGCCTTTCCCCGATAGTTCTATTACTACTATTAAACCTTTCTAACTTATTCACATTGACACTTGGGGTCCTTACCATACTCCAACATATACTGGGGCTAGATATATTGTAGATGATTATACACGAGCTACTTGGACACACTTAATGGGGGCCAAGAGTAATGCCTTTCCTTTAATCAAGGCTTTTGTTACAATGGTTAAAAATCACTTTCATGTCCCTGTCCAAACTATTAGAAGTGATAATACTCTAGAGTTAGGTTCTAGTTCTTCTGCTTCTGTTTTTTTCTCAAAGAATGGGATCATACACCAGACTAGTTGTCCTTACACCCCTCAACAAAATGGGTAGTTGAAAGAAAGCATCGAACCCTTCTTGAGCATCTAAAGCTTTGTTGTTTCAATCAAACTTGCCTGCTCAGTTCTGGGGTGATTGTTTATTGACAGCAACTTATGTCATTAACAGGTTACCTTCCAAACTCCTCAATGACAAATTCCCATTTGAGACGTTCTATGGTAAGGTGCCTACCTATTTCCATCTGAGATCCTTTGGTTGTTTAAGCTATGCCACAGTCCTCATACCTCATAGGGATAATTTTAAACCTAGAGCTACACCTTGCATTGTTTTTGGCTATCCTTATTCCAAGAAAGGGTACAAGTAATACAATTTATCTACTAAGAAATATTTCATATCCACGGATTTCATGTTTCATGAGCATTATTTTCTTTTTTTTTCAGTACAGAAATGTGTGTGCCCCTTCTCCTTTTCCTTCTTCTGTTTCTCCTGGCCCTAATTCTGATTCTTCTATGTGTCTTCTGCACCTTCTCCTTCCTCTTCTATTTCTCCTTATTCCCCATCTCCCTCTTCTCCTTCTTCTTCCCTTTGTTTTCTCTTTTAGATCTTTCTTCTAATGTTAGTTCTCCTGCTCCACCCATTATTCAGCCTCCTAGAAGATCTTCTAGAGATCATCATCCTACTACTTATCTTCAGGACTACTTATGTAGTTTTCCTTTCACCTCTTCCTTCTCTAATATAGTCCTTCAGCATGCTGAATTTGAACCTGGTACATATTCTCAAGGAGCTTCCATCCCAACTTGGCAGAATGCCATGCAACAGGAGTTTGAGATTTTAGATGCCAATCACACTTGGAATATTGTTAAATTACCTAAAGGCAAGAAACCTATTGGTTGCAAATGAGTTTATAAAGTAAAATACAGAGCTGATGGTAGTGTAGAAAGGTATAAAGCGAGGCTTGTGATAAGGGGGATACAAAGGTAGCAGGTGCTGATTACCTTTTCCCATGTTGTCAAATTGTCCACAGTTAAATGTCTCATAGCAGTAGTTGTCAAAAAAATGGCCTCTGTTTTAATTAGATATAAACAATGCTTTTCTCCATGGTAATTTGGATGAAGAGGTTTACATGAAGCTTCTTCCCGGTCTTTCTATTTCTGCCTTTTCTCCTCCTTCTGCACCCTTAGTATGTAAGTTGAAGAAGTCTTTTTATGGTCTCCGACAAGCTTCTAGACAATGGTATGCTAAGTTGTCCCACGCTTTATGTACTAAGGGTTTCATTCACTCTATTAATGATTACTCTCTATTTGTAAAAGGTTCTCCTAGTTCCTTGACTATATTGGCAGTGTATGTTGATGACATCATATTGACGGGAGATGATCCTAATGCTATTCTTGATTTGAAGTTATTTTTAAATGATTAGTTCAAGATTAAAGATTTGGGTGTTTTGAATTATTTATTGGGCATTGAGGTCTCTTCTTACTCTTCCGATCTGTTGCTCAATCACAAGAAATTTATTTATGAGCTTTTGTCTAAATATCATTGTTCAGATGTTTGCTCTGTTATCTGTCCCTTGGAGCTTAATAACAAGTTATCTGCCGATTTTGGTGACGTGTTGCCTCAGCCTAAGACATATAGGAGCCTAGTTGGTAAGTTGCTCTTCCTTACGCACACTAGACCAGATATCTGTTTTGTAGTTTAACACCTAAGTTAATTTTTAAAATGTCCTCGAGTACCTCACATGTATGCTGCTTTACACATTCTGAGATATCTAAAGGGTACCTTGGATGTTGGGTTATTTTTTCCAACTTTCCTAATCTTACAGTGACTGCCTATAGTGATACCAGAAAGTCTGTGACTGGGTTTTGCATTCTTCTGGGGAATAGTTTGATTGGTTGGAAATTTAAAAAGCAACCTATATTTTCCTTGTCTTCTGTCGAAACTGAATATAGGGCTATTAGTAAGGTTGTTGCGGAGTTAACTTGGCTAGTTCGTCTTTTATCGGACTTGCATGTTTCTGTCTCATTTCCAATTTCAGTTTTTTGTGATAATCAGGCAACTATCCGCATTGCCAAGATCCCAGTTTTCCATGAGCGCACCAAGCACATTGAGGTGGATTGCCACTTTCTTCACACCAAATTGGTTGAGGGACTCGTTCACTTGGCTCATGTTTCTACTTCCAAGCAACTGGCAGATATTCTGACTAAGCCTCTAACTAGGCAGAGTCACCTTCATCTTCTTTCCAAGTTGCAGGTACTTTCCCCCTCCAACTTGAGGGGGGAGGGGTGTTGGACGTGGATACTATTTGGCTTCTGGGCCTCGGCAGAAATAGGCCCAGGTTTGTATAAGCTTATTTGTTTAGCTTCTTTTACTAGTTTAGTCCAGTTTAATCCATTTAGCATTCCGGGTTTTGGCCCTTACACTTATTTTGTACATATTTTGACACTTTTGTCATTCTGAGATAATGAAACAATCGAAAAGCTTCTCCTTTTTCCTTTGTATTCTCTTCAGAAACCCTAATTGATTTTTCTTGACGATTTCATGGTTTTCCAAACTTTTCAATCTTCGCGAGTGAGTAGTTGTTTCTCCTAAAGATTAGGCTCATACGGCATAAGAAAAAAGCGGATTAGGAATGACTCAAGAATCTGTGTACTCTTAAGAAATTATTAACAATGTGACCTTTTGACAATTAATTAAACATAAAAAATGAATAATAGATTCCTTCTAAATGCTTTTAAAAATAAAAATTGTGAGTGGTCAAGCTCCTCTTTCCATGTTCTAAATTCACAGGTTGGCAAAGACAACATTAAACAAAGACCAAGATACAGATTCAATAATTAAAAGTAACCTGGCTATATTTTCAAGTTTTGGGTTTAAGTGGAGTAGTAGGTAATGATGACATTTATTCACACCATTTTACAATTTGGTCAATAAGAAAATACTAATAGTACAAAACATCGTCTTGGAAAGAACAAAGTAGCAGTAGGTGAGAACAAAGAAACTACAAATATTCTCTTTTCGACTTTAAGAAACTTTGCAACTTGCGGTTAATAATTTACTCAAACACTAATATGTGGTCAATTATTTACACAGAAAAAGAGAAGAGAGAGCAATTGAGATTCAGTTGTGTTAAACCGTAGTACAACACAGACAAAATAAGGTACGAAACTAGTGTCAAATTTCATGTTTTTCGAATGTTAGGCACATGAAAGGGGAAAGAACGCTTACAGGTTTCGCTATGATGTTGAAAGAGGTTTTTTTTCCATGGAAATGGAAAAAGAGGGACTGAAAATGCGGGTGTGTGAAGAAAAAGAAGAGGCATTCATGAAAAGAATTTCGGACGATTAATTTCCTACATGCCACAGCTGAGGTGCAAAATATGAAAAATAGGGAAAGTGAGTAGGGAGAGTAGTGATAATTAGTTGTATAAGGTCCTATAAAAAATGACCCCGTACAAATTAGTTTTTTTTATCCATTTCGAAATAATTCAAGTTGAATAATCAGACGTTATAAAGGCTAGTGTATAATTAAAATCCGATTTAAGTTTTAGGCGTACTTGTCCCTTTTTCCTTGTTTTTAATAATGATTCATAGACATGATGGTAAAGAATGAATCAACAAACATATATTTTTCAGCAATTTAAAATTACAACACAATTTAATAAAGAAATTTATAGAATATTAGAGAGTACTTATAAAATAATCCGACAATCACGCGGACTGAATTTTGGAGAAGTCAAGGTTTGTGAACTAAAAAGCTTGTTCACAGTATAAACAGTCACGAATTTAACCTCTTAGAAGCTCTTCAATACACTATTTAAGCATTTGTTCATACTCAATCTAGACACGCCTTGACACAGTAAACTGCTCAAACAACCACAACAACCACCTAATAAAATTCCACAAGCGGGGTATGGGAGGTTAGTGTTTACGCAGACCTTATCCCTTCTCCGAGAGAGAGGTTGTTTCCAATAAACTAAGAAGACGAAAACAGATAATATAAACTGCTCAAACACTGGTTTCTAATAGGTGTATATCTAGTGAGACGATACATCTAAAATACTAACAAGGATATGAATATCTCCTGGAAGGTGCTTTGGGACTCATGGAACATTAGGATTGTCCTTCTCCTCAGCTTTTTTCTGCAAGTGTTGCTAATCTTCTTTGCACCTCTTAGAAAGCGTGTTTCGACTGTGTTTCTGATCTTGCCCCTCTGGTCAGCCTACTTGCTTGTAGAATCCGCTGCTAATTTTGCACTGGGACACATCTCCTACAGCCAAGGGAGGAATGTCTTTGGCACTGATGGCGGCGACATCCAATAACTTCAAGCATTCTGGGCAGCCTTTCTGTTGGTACATCTTGGCGGCCCTGACACCATTAGTGCCTTTACTCTCGAGGACAATGCACTGTGGTTTAGGGAACTTTTGCGGTTCATGTTCCAGATTGGCGCTGTGGTGTATGTCCTCATCCAGACATTTCCTGGTAACAAGTTGTGGATCCCAACAGTGATAATAATTTTAACTGGACTAATCAAGTATGGTGAGCGTATTCGAGCTTTACATCTCGCAAGTCCAAGTCGTTTTCGCGAATCCATGATGAGGGATCCGGATCCCGGGCCTGATTATGCCAAGCTAATGGACGATTACTCTGCAGCATGGGCGGCCAATCTACCAGCTACTATGAATATGGTTCACGAGTTCGGAGCAGAAATAGGTGATGAAGATTGGCCTGGCGGACCAAGGCTACCGGATCTTGAGGTGGTAGAATCTGATCACTGGCCTGCAGAAGAAACAGCTGATCTGTATCTGATTCACGAGTTCAGAGGGGAAATACCTAAAGGAAGGCCTGTCAAGCGAGGGCTATCGGATCTTGAAGTGGTGGAAGAAGCATATTACTTCTATGAGAAATTCAAAGGACTGATTGTTGATCTCATACTTGACTTCAGACAGCGTAATGAAAGTCGCAACTACTTCCTCGACTTAAATTCAACAGATGCCTTTCGAGTTATAGAGACTGAACTTAACTTCATTTTTGACGTTCTTTATACTAAAGTGACAGTGGTAAATTCTCCATGGGGTTATGCAAGGCGAGCAGTATCTTTCATTCTCCATGTTGTTGCTGGAATTCTCGTCTACCGTTGGGATAAAAGGGGAGTTCCTAGGTGGGATATTGGAATCACTTATACCTTTCTCCTAGGTTCTCTTCTCTTGGATTTGACGGCTTTTCTTATGCTTATCTTCTCAGATTGGACAACAGTTGCCCTGAAGAAAATGAGTTACTCTCATTTACGCCGTTTGCCTATGCCTTTTCGATGCTTGCACCGTAGGTGGGCTGAATCCGTTTCACAATTCAACCTGATTGACTATTGCATACATGCGCGCTCAGAGAGAAGGGAACGGACATATTAGTATTTTGGCATCGCTGATATATTGGACAGGATCGTGTATGTGGATAGTGATCCATTCACTACAGAATTGAGGGAATTCATACATAAAGAGCTAAAAGTGAAGTCCTTTTTCGCTAAAGATTTAAAAATAGCCAAGGAAATGTGGTTAGCCAAAGGAGAATGGACTCTTCGTATGAATAATTGTAGTCAGCTGCTTCCTTTCATCACTGATTCTAGTTACGACGAGTGCCTTCTAGTTTGGCACATTGCTACAGAACTCTGTTATAGCCAAGACTTGGTTAGCCAGGCTCAGAGAATTAATGAAGAAAACGAGGAAAGCAAAGTGAAAAAATTCCGAATGCCGTTTGCACATTGTTTTTGGAGAAAAAATAAAAGGGATCAGAGTGATCATCAGTTCAACTACCGCCAGATTTCGAAGGTTCTTTCAGATTACATGCTCTACCTCCTCGTTATGCAGCCATCAATGTTGTCCACTGTGGAAGGTATCGGACAGATTAGATTCAGAGACACTTGTGCTGAAGCCAAGGAGTTTTTCCGCAGCAGGGATTTAATGAAGAGTACTACCGAAGATCAAGGTGAGCGATGCTGGAAAAACTTCTTTACCAATTGCTTCTCAACAGGAAGAACAACGGGGGATGAGCACCGCGACCCCCTTTTGAAACATACAGACGAAGAAAATATCGTTTGCTGTCCTGAAAAGAAACCAAATCAAGAAGACGAGGAACATAAACGAGCATGCAATGCTATCCTTAGCGTGAACGCAGTGGTGAAACCCGCGCTAATAAAGGGAGATCAGAGTAAAACGGTCTTGTTTGATGGACGTATTTTAGCTGAAGAGCTGGAAAAACTTGAAAAAGATCACAGTTTCAATAAATGGGAGATATTAAGCGAGGTATGGGTTGAAATGCTCTCATATGCGGCAATTAACTGCAACGCCAATAACCATTGCCATCAGCTTAGCAAAGGAGGAGAGCTTATAACTTTGGTTTGGTTGTTGATGATTCATTTTGGCTTTGGAAACAATTATCAAATACGTGAAGGTCATGCAAGGACAGAACTGGTTGTGGACAATAATTAGCTTCTTTTTGCACAATGTTGTATTTCAAGATGATCTTATCTTAAAGATCTAGATTCGTAATATGGATTGGGGTTTGGTTTTTTTCCTAGTTCAGTTCAGTTCAGTTCGGTTTAATAGCCTCTCTACCTCTCCAGGCAGGGGTAAGGTCCGCTTACACATTACCCTCCCCAGACCCCACTTGTGGATTATACTGGGTATTGTTGTTGTTGTAGTTCGGTTTAATAGATTCGATTTTTCGGTTTTGGACCTGTTAAATTGGACAGCCAGACAGGAATTAATAATTGCAAAATTTCTTGGTGCTACACATGTTTTTTTTGCAGAAAATAAGGTGAAGGATTGTAGTAATATATTGCGTTCAAGATAAACATGCATAAGATTCAATTAAAGAAAAAACTAATCAAGAAGCTTGAAGGAGTGGAATAGAAAGACTCGTTCGAACGAACTAAGAATGTCGTTTTGAAAGAAAGGTAATTGTATTATACTCCCTCCCTCCGGTCCAAAATAAGTGATCAATTTGCCTTGGGCATACCCATTAAGGAAATACTAAATTCTAGACAAAAATAGTTAATGTAATTAAATTATCCTTAATTAAATGTTGCTGCATAATTTAATGTGGGGAGTAAAAGACTTTAGGAATACATACATAAGGGTAATTTTGAAAAAACAAATTGAATTTTTTCTTGATTATATAAATGGACACTCATATTGGGTCAAAATAAAAAGACAAATTGGTCACACTTATTGTGAACTGGAGGGAGTAGAACAACACTAAGCTAGTGTTGAAATATTTACAGGTTCAGCATAAAACTGAAAAAGGAATCCCTTTCTAATCTTTTATTGATTCTGCATCATTTAAAAACTCCTAATTACACAGAAAACATTAAGAATGTCTCAAGACAAATGTAGTCAAATGCGGGTCATAACATTCATGAAGCATGTTCTTTGCTAGTAGAAGTAATTAATTAGGGTTCTTGGACAATCAGGGGAATTGAGTCCTTAACTATTTTGGGTAAAGTAAAACTGACCATCACAAAAGTGAAAGCTCATTCCTGCCATTACCATCTGCGCTTTTTTCTTAGGCAAAATACACGCCTAAAGTTGGTCTCAGCTGTCAGTTAAACGCTCTAACTTACCTAATGATTTTCTAGACACCTTAACTTGACATAAGGCAAAATACATAAGTTGTCACCTGACCTATTGTCCAAATCCCCTTTACACACTTTCTATGGACGATAATAATATTACACACGCAACCTTTTTAAACTGTATCTAGAACACACCTCTTTTGACCAGGTCCCGTAAAAAGTTCATTCGTGTATTTCACGTGTTTGACTTTTTTTTATAAACTTAAAAATAAAAATATAAAATATAAAATTACAAATATGCCCTCATCCTCTTCAACTCATACCTGCAACACTATTATACCTGCAACACCATTATAGAGCAGGTTTTAAAATGGAGACAACCAAGAACATTCTACCAAAATATTCCTTGCCATCAAATATGGTCATTAAGCTATAAGACAACTTTTTGAAATCATTACTGCCATTTGATTTAAAATTACATATGCAAAACCAAATTGAGGAGGAAATTCAATCAAAAGTTGACGGAATTGCGTTACTAGTTAGGTTTCTACAATGAAGTCAACACGGCCGGCTCAACCTGACCCACTCACTCTTTAGGTTCGCTTTCTTCAAAGAACGCCACCGGTTCACCTCGCCGGTCACACGAAACGCCGACACCAGTGTAATTTCCTCGCTCGATATCCCTTTTCCCTTGCATCCAGTTCCTTCCTCCCTGCTGTCGAGCTAGAACTCGAACTACCTGTTCTCTTGTGTGACTACCAGAATTTATCCGACGACGTCGAGTCCAATGTATCATTTTGGCTTCTGTTCTTCGATAGAGTCGGCGGCGGCAGAGTTGTACATGGAGTACCTTGCTTATATGCTCCTGATGCTTTCAATGACACATCCTTTATCTACACCACAAATTGGGGGAGTGAGTTCGGAGGATGAAGATGGAGAAGAAGGGGTTGTGACCCAATTAAATAAAATTTGAACACGTGGCACTTTAAGAAATAATATAATAGCAAAAAATTAAATTTCACGTGCTTCTTTTGTGTGTAAACACGCAAGTCAAAAATGGTATGCACTAGATACACTTTAGAAAGATTGTGTGTGTAATATTATTATTGTTCACAAAAACTGTGTAAAGGGAATTTGGGTATATTTAACCCTTAGACATAACTGTAACATATGAGCACCTTATGCGCATGTCAAGTTGTGTAGTTTACACTTACATTTGAGCGCGTGAAAAAGCCTAATTATATTTTTCCCTTTTCTTTTTTCTCCTAAAAATCTTCAGCTTCCTTCCTCAAAATTTCTGGTGACTTTTTCCACCGTTTTCACAAGTTTTAAGCTTCACAAACGCGTAATTTCCATATATCAACAGAAAATTAAGAAGCCCAAAATTCTTAATGTTACATTAATTCTTATTATCGCATTACTGGTCATGCTCAAAGACGAGAAGAAAGATCCTCAAAATGGGGTCACCAAAAATACCTCTGTTACGCAACAATCCAAACTTAACACCACAAAATAATGTCCATCCATTTCGCACATTAACGGGAAATCTTCAATCTTCGACATCGACGGTGATAATGAAACCGAGGTTGTCTAGAAGAAGCTCATAAAAATGAAATTGGGGCTGCCCCAAATTTTCATCTTTTTCCTTCTTATTCATCAGTTTTAAAATATAAAAAATTCCATGTCTTTACTTCTGCCATGAATTCCAATTATAAGAAACAATAAATTCCAACACTTCTATTTATCAGGAGAGTGGGCATGAAACAATTTCATACTCATTCTCTGATTCTTTTTATCACTATAGCCGCAAAATAGTTCAAATTCTAAGTTTGGGAGGTGGATTGTTGACGTTCTGGTGGTTGACAGTGAGAAAGAATGAGAGTAGAGGTGGTATTTTGGTGAAATTTTTGGATGAAAAAGACAAATAATAAACGTATATTCTTGCGTGCACCTCCTCTACTATTCTACTGGGTGAATAGACAAAAGGGACCGAGGATTTGAAGTTATGGACTTCTGAATTCTAGCCCTAAGGGGTTCTTGGATTCTATGAATTTGTTAAGATAAATACACGAACACTACTGAGCTCCCGAACTTGTACTGTAAACAGTACATTTGCCCCCCTAAGCACAGTTATTCTGTCCATTAAGGTTTGATTAGATGGGAAGAGATAATCCAATATTTTCTGTCTCAGCTACAATTAAAATTTTGATCTTCTAAAGTGCAATGATAGAATGATCTATCAAGATTTTTCATTTTTACAATCCAACCATATATTTATTGATTGTGAAAAAATCTTTTAAACTATCGGTATAATATTTAACCTACTATATAAAATATGTCAACTTTTTTTAAGTTGTCGATCAATATCAATTAAAGATGAATGGTTATTTGCAATTACCTTATAAGTGATATATTGTTTCATTTCCTCACTCTTCTAGCTTTGATTTAAACGTTCTTCTTTCAATAGTAGTTATTCTTTATCTTGATGTTGCAAAAGCTTTTGGTCCTTAAGTATGATCGCTCTTATCCACTCTTGAGTTTATAAGTGGTTATGTTGAATTAGTTGCACATGACTATGGTCTTTTTGTAGCCGGGATTCCCTTAACCAAGATTTTGCGTGAATAGTTAAGAGGAAAGAAAGGACCTGTAGATAATAATAATAAGAAAGGGCGCGGCATTTGCACGAGCGAAATGGATGAGCAAAAGTTATCATGCAATGGAGTGAGGAATAGTCATAGCCTCATGTAAGACAACTAAAATTATGTTCGGATAATTTTATAGACCTCCCCTTAGGTTTGGCCTAATCACACTAATATCCTAAATCACAAGGGCAACTAGTGTGATGAGGCCAAACTTGAGGGGAGATCTTCCAAATTATTCGTATTTTTTAAACTATCAGTGGCTTAGAATTTAATTAAACTCACTAATTTTAAATGTGTGTTGATGACTGCGTTATAAGCTGAATGACCCAACTCTGCAATTCAAGAACATTTTTTAAATCTTGTCGGCAACTCAAGATTTATACGTTTTAAAACTATGTTTATTTAAGTATAACTACACAATCCCTGACAATCCCATTGATGCTATTTGACACTAATCATATAGGAGTATGTTTTAACGGATACTGAGTTCCCATAAAAAAAAATTAAAGAGGAGCGTATATATAAATCATTTCTTTCAAGCGCATGGTTTTGTATTATAAATAATTTGGCCAGCTTTATCAATCCTTATCTGCTATATTTGGTGTTTCCGGGTCGTGACAATAATTAGGTAAGATATTAATCTGATATTTATTTTGATTGACTTCTTGGGATTATTATTTGGATTAACTAATTTTGATTTTTTGTATAGTAAGTATACCAAGTAAATTTTATGGATGATCATACAACTTTGCGTTCATTACCTTAAAATTATTTTTTTTTGTCACGTAAAGGTCATTAAACTTTGTATTCATTATCAAAAAATTACTTTTCTTTCTTTTGTTACACAAAAATTATGTTACTATGCTCTAGTCATCGCAATATTCACTTTGACCAAATTTTATAAACTTTCACATAAAAATTCTATTATGCCCTTGACATTATAAATTTTCCTCATCTATGTAATACCCTCTATATTATATACATATAATATATTTTTACCTATATATTTTACTAATAATTAAAATAACTTAATATTATTTGATTTATTATTTTTATAATATATTTGACATTTAATTTTTCCTTAACGTTAATTTTCAATATATAGATATAGCATTATCAATTGTTTTAGTAACACTATTGTGAATAAATCTCAAGTCAATATTATTGACCATACCTAACGAAATATTTTTAACAAAAATTATAAAATTAAAGTTCATAGATTTATCAGTCAAGCTATATTCGTTAATCAAACAAACAAAATACCCACATTTAGCACACTGACGTATCAAATTAACACTTTCAAAAAAAAAATAACAGATAAAAGCTTTAAAATACTTAATATTAACACAAATATATTTGAATTTTTTTTTTAAAGTTTTACTGACTATAAAATATTATTATTTGTTAACTAATTTTTTTATTTTAAATAAATATTTTTGTCGTTTTTATGTTTCAATATATGTTCATGTTTGAATATGATTAAACTAATTGAGTGCCATGACAAAATTATTTATAC